CCACTGACCTATAACAAAAACCTCCTTATGTTTTTAATTCCCATCTCCATATTTTCTTTTTATTATCCTCTCCTTCACTAGTTCTTCATCTGTTCAAGCCGAAGGCTGAAATTTGTTACTTATTAGAACCTGCTCATTATAACTAAATCTACTACTACTAGCCCTATTAGTACTGGTTTTAATTTCCTTAAAGTCATTATTAGCTACCGTATCCTTTGTATGGAAAAGCTTAGGTTCCTCTTTAAATCCTGTTGTCATTTCCCACAGTTTACCCTTCCCCTTATCCACTGCAGCTACTCTATTTAAGTAGCTTCCAATTTTTCCTCCGACCTATAAACTTTACATACAAACAAATTGTAAATATTCATTACTAGTTCCCCTTAATGTATATGCTAGTCCTAAGTTCCAAAATAAAACCCACCCCTTGCACCTGTCGCAATTTACAAACTGTGAGCGCTTACAGCTACGCTACTCTTAACAGTTGTAACCTAGGGATAAATAATCAACATTACATGCGAGTAGCCTATTGACAAAACTGATAAGCCTGACGCTAGAGTTAAATATATTATGCTATTTCATCACTATCTTATCTTCTCACTAAAGTAATAAAGTTTATCTTTAAAATAAGAAGTGACAATTAACTAGTCCTTAGATTATACTTATGTAATAATACAATTTATTTAGTCTTATTTATAACTTATCAATAACTGCATAAGCTTAACTTATAGCTAAAGTCGCATTATAATCGCTAAGCCATTAAACTGTAGATAAATATAACACTAAAATCCTCTATTAACCAATGCTTACACAATGTTTTGTCAACGTCAGTATGACAGCTATGATGCATCACATTTCTAGTTACACGCAACTAAATGCTAATTTAAACAATTTAGTCTAATGTATTAAATTCTCAACAACTATTAAATAATAATACAAGCAGATTCTTCTTCTTACTCAGCTAACACTAGTGAAAACTCTTTATTTCAAGCTAATATTTAAAAGCTTTATTATCCTATATTCCAGTTCAAGTAGTTACCTAAAAACAAAATGACTAACGATTAAGCTTAACTTTATGCTTAGCTGCACCTGTAGTAATAAAACCTAAAAGTATTCAATACTAACTAAAACACACCAAAATAATGACCATAGACTTTAGAAATACTAAAATAATACTTATCTTCTACGGAAAAATGCTATAACCTACAAATACAAGAATTTCTTTGTCTCAGAGTTCAAATCTTTCGTCTGTTACAAATCAGTCATTTTAACCAAACATAAAAATGGAGAGTATCAGCTCACGTTAAAATATTGGAAGTGGTTTTTCTTCCAACAGCTCAGTCCAAAGAGGAGAATGGATATTACCAGCTCAAGGCTACAGTTTATTCAGTGGTTATCTTGTAAGACCTCTGTCGGTTTTAACCAAAGAGGAGAACGGAGACTATCAACTTATATTACAATATAGGCAACTGTTATCTCTCAGCAGCTCAGCGCGCTTTAACCAAACAACAGAATGGATAGTAATAACTCATGTTACAATATGGACAGTGGATACTTCTAATAGCATCACGCATCACTCTTCACTGGATTTCTTCACTACGTTTTTCAACAAGATTTGAAAAAGACACCTGCAACTCTTTGGAAACTACGGGTGTCCCAAAGGTGAATTTGTTTCATATTAAGTAACTAATAATAATAGTAATAGAGGAGTTTTTTTATTAACAATATAGAAGATAAGGAATCTGACTCAACAATCTAGAAAGTCATTATAACAAATATTCTTATCAAGCTCGTTAGGGTTAACTAATTCAGGAAATATGTATTTAATACCATTAAAATTTCATATAAAGACGTTCAACATTACTTTTTCAAAGACTAATAGTAAAACAAGAAAGAGAACTTTAAATTCAGTGAGACAAGCTAAACATTCAATTGATTAATACCCGGACATAGTTAAGAAAAACAAACAGAGAATAATTGAGTAAAGGAAAGTTTAGATAACGAACTACGAACTCAAGCAACATATTTATTTGAATATAACTATTGGTAGATAAGATTGTCAGTATTCCCAACAAATATAACCGACGTGTTACTCTTTACAACTACAATTTATTTCATGAATGTAACGTTAATTGTGATTTTGTAATTAAGAATGGATGATGAAATTATATTTACATTAAGATATTATCACCCTAGATTAAATAACATTGTTACGTCACGTGAAGAAGGTAATCATGTATTTTATCATTTACAAATCACATACATACCATCAGTAATCTAATTTCACATAGCTATTCGAAAAGTAAGTAACATTCATTCCAGTACTTTATTTTTCCGTATTATATGTCCCCCAGTGGCACAGCGGTATGTCTGCGGACTTACAATGCTAGAATCCGGGTTTCGATACCCGTGGTGGGCAGAGCACATATAGCCCATTGTGTAGCTTTGTGCTTAATTACAAACAAACAACCAATTATCTAGCGAAAAACTATTTGCAGGAACGCATTTTCTTTCATCGGGAAAGTTATCAAGTTTGGTTAAAGAGAATCGAAATTCCTTGCCTGATTCATTTGTTAACCATATAAACAGAAGATGCATTTCTTTGATTTATCCTTGTTAAGAGTTATGATTGAGTTATGGAATATAGCAAACTCAAAAACAGACTAAGTCTCTTACCTTGTTTCACCATAAATCCTCGGTTTTGGTGATGAGAAAGACGCATTACATTAAAATCCCATTTTCAACAAACAAAATGATTAAAAATGTACAAAAACTGTTTGTTGTTTCTACTATTTTAGATTTCTGCGATCGGTAGTTATCTGCCAACATACTGTTGTATAGAGTGTCTTTGTTACTCTTTAATTTATTTTTATTGTTATTTATATATTTCTTTAATATCTTATCTCTGTCGCTTTTGAAAGTTTAACTCTATATTGAAATTCAAGATCATTAATACATTGTTT